TTAGTGAAGAACTATTTGGAGTTGAGAAAATAAAATTTATACCTTTCCGTAAATGAGATGTAAGGACAAAGACTAGATAACTAGTAACATATACCTTTTGATTTCTTTGTATGTTCAATGAAAAAGAAAATTTAAAAGTTATCTGAATTGGTTAGAGACTCGTGCTGATAATTGTTATAAAATAAAGATAAATATATTAAAACTTGAACAACAAAGCTAGGAAAGAAAGAGATGGAGTGATATGACAAAAGCAAAGCAAAAAAGGAGTAATAGAAGAAGAGAGATATAAGAAATAAGAAGTAGTAGCTTAGTCTCATTTTGTGTGTCATTTTACATTACTTCTCAACGTCCTTTTATAGGCATTATTACTTGGAGTAGTGATAGTGCTACAGTAACAAAGTGAGGTCATCCAGGACATCCACCAAATAATGTATTTACAATAGAAAGTTCCATTTCTCAATCATCCGTTCAATGTATGTATACATTTGCTTATTATTTTATGGATATAAATTTAATTTTTGAAGAGAGCTATAAAGAGTATTTGTAGTTTTATCCATAAATATTATAATATTAACATTTTTTAAATATTTAATAACAACTTTATAGGGGTATTTTGGTATTTCAACTTTCAATTATTTTTGTTCTATATAAGATGACTAGTTTCTGAATACGTGCGTTGCATGTGTCCCATGCAATATTTTATAATTCGTTAGGACGATTAAAATTCAATGAAAACATGTGTGTAATGAGTACTAAAATGCAACAATCTCAAATAAATGTTACGACGATAATTTTTTTTTATTATAGAAAATTAAATTAAAGAAGACTAATTGAGAGAAAATATAAAAAGTTCACATAGAAGAAAAAATAACATACACATCCTTCTTAAAACTTTAATCATAACAATGTATAAATGAAAAAAGAAATACAAAAATCAGTACATAACTTTCTGCGTTTTTGTCGACACCTTCTCTCATATCTAAGCAAAAGTTAAAAATCTTCTCTATCAAGTCAAATTAAAGCATGAATCAAATAGAAAAAGCACTTCATTTTTGTAAAGTGATATATAATTAGACTAAGGTAGATATATCATATACTTTGGATGTTGATGGTTTCACTACTTTAATGATAAAATGAAAAAAAGATAATTTTGGATGTGATTTTCATGAAACAAAAAAGATGAATTTATATAGATAAAAATAGAGGAATATCAAAAGACATCTTAAAGTTTTAAATTAAATATTTGAATGTTATGAATATGAAAAACATGAAAGTTGTGGATATTAAGCATGCCAATTGAATATGTAATTAGATATAAGTTATGAAGGCAAATGTTTAAAACAAATAAAGAAGAAAAATAATTTAAAAAATGTAGAAGATAAGAAAAAGAAGTGCAAATACTATTTAAGTGAAACACCACTAACATTGGAATTTCAAAGGGCCAAAATAGATAAAGAGAACAACTTTAAGAATATTAAATATATGCAATGAACCTCCACTAAAATGTGGAAGAGTAAACAATCCTCCTTTGAACACATGAACTCTCCATTTACTCAATGTAGTAATTGATTATACTAATAACTAAATATTTTTAATATTTTAATTTAGTGTAGGGGTAGAATGATATTTCAACTTTTAACTTTTTTTGTTCCGATTTTTAGTAAGATGTAGGGATGGAAATGGGGCTGGACGGGTGCGAGACAAACCTGCAAAGACTTTTCCCCGCCTCACTCCACCCCCACACAACACAATTTGTTGTTTTTGCCTCGCCCCACTCCAACCCGCTTGAACCCGCCCCACACTCCAACATTCTTTTGCATCTAACGTTTTATGTGGTGACAACCATTTTTATTTTTCATTCATATAAAAAAAAGTGAATTGTGTCAATTTTATTAGAATAACAATATAATTTCATTAACGCGTATGTAAAATCTTTCTCTAGCTACTACCAAGTGTAACAATCCATTCAAAGAACAATTTTTTTTATAATCAGAACTACAACTGGGATCAAATAATGAGAAAAACTACGTACCAGAGACGATCAAGAATTTGAAGGATTACCTAAAACTTAACAGGGTATGTAAAATTGGAGTTAAAAGGTAGAAGAAATTTATCAAGAATGACTAGGAATCAAGTGTGTTGTTGCTGTTTGATTTTCTTGGTCAGCAACTAGTGACTGATAGAGTATTAAAATTCCAACTTTCAGCTCTTGCGTATTGACAAATTTTAGTCAAGGAAGATTTCAGTTTCAAGGAACGGCAGTAAGAGACACGATAAAAAGGAAAAAAAATTCAACCCGCGTACCAACCTTGCCCCGCATGTTTTTTTTTTTTCAAAAATATTTTGTATCCGCCCCGCCCCATTGCCTTTCCTGGTAAAATATGATATGATGTTTGGGTATTTGTGTTGAGAAATCGAATTTGTTTGTTTGGTGCTTTCATTGCGTGGAAAATTTAATGGGGAAGAAGAACATGACGAAGGTGATCTACTGGTGGAGAGTGTAACACAAATTGCTTTTTCAATGAAATTATATAGCCCTTGCAAGGATTGTTCAACCATAGTTGTGGACGAGTTAAAGGACATCCTTAAGACATCAACACGTCATATTGCTAATACTGTCATTGATTAACGTCTTTTAACCCAATTTCAATTCAATTTTGGTGCGACTACCTTCGTTGTCTGTGTTTGTGGAATTGCATCAAATATTTCTTGAAGTTTGATCATGGGCTGCAGTATCTCAACTTAATAGAAGAGTCTAAGCTTGAAGATGAAAATCCATACTATGTGATCATTGTAGATATGCTTGGTCGATCAAGTCGAATTGTGCAAATTATCCTTGCTACAAATCCGCATATATCTATATTGCTCTCATTAGTGGAAGATGAGGATTCTCATTGCTATATTATTATGACTCAAAATAGATGCAAAGAAGTTGCTCTGAATTGCTGGCTTGCCATTGACAATGTCAAGCAGATACTATACTAGGATTTATGCTTTACCCGAACCTTGAGGACAAGGTTCTTTTTGACGCAGGAAGTATTGTTGTGAACCCGGTAAGTGCCTATGGGCTAGAAACACTAAATAAGACTGATACAGTTGGGAGTGTTGAGCTGAGTAAAATGTTGGAATGTCTTATTTGGAATCCAGGTCCATTTGACAACCGGTTAAAAAGGACTAGGAATTAGAAAGAACGATTATATGCGTACTGTGAAGAAACCATATGTTCCTCTCATCTTCTTTCTAGAGTCTAAACTTCTCATCCCATTCTTATCTGTATCCTTAGTTACTTGTTAGTTTTCATTGTAATTCAAGAGTTTGAGTGTTGTCGTTGTAATTTGACTATCTTATCATATAATGTTTGGGTATTTGTGTTGAGAATTCCAGTTTGTTTCAGTATATCAAAGACTTAGTAGATATGTTAACCCAAATGAGAATAGAGTAGAATTGTGAAGTTGTTGTATGATAATACCATACCATAGACTCATTCTACAAATGACTTGGTGATGGAATATTTTTTAATTACAATAAGAAGGGGCTCAATTGACCATATAAATTTTAGAATGATAATATATCATGTCATATCACCTGAATGAATGATAATGTGACATGTTATGTTACCTACTAAACTTTCGAATCTCTCAGATGATTATCCAATTTATGATTATTTTTTCCCAAAATCTTCCTTTATTTTTTAATCACTTACATGTCAAGTTAATAGTATTTACTCCATATATATTTTCTTTAACCAAATAATATTTCTTTTTTCATAGCTAAAATATTCTCTCATTTACCCCCATAAAGTTACTCAATAACATATACTTGATAAAACACATTTTGAGAAATGTATTTTACAAAGCAAGAAGCAGATTACAGGAACAAACAAAGAGCCAGCCACCTTCGTTGATGAAGATGACTGTGGCCACCAAGCGTATATAGCTATGCACCAATGCAAAATGAAACACAAAACATCAATGAAATGAAGAAATTTGAATCAAGCATGAGGAATGTTAAGCCATTAATCCTTGGTCAATGCCCCTTAATGCTGCAAAATAATTTCTTTGAGACATAATTGAGTTTTAGAAATCTACAAAACTCATCACATTTTGGTCTAGGATTAACAAAAGAAAAGTTTGATGCTTCAATCTGTAGACAGTAAATACGGAGGCATTCCTGCTGGATCAAGCTCCCAGAAACCTCGCAAACAGCCACGTCTCTCTTCTGTCAGGCGAAAAGCAGGAATTTGATGAGAAAACCTGAGATGCTCGGATACACATATTTTCAATACTCCGCCAGTCTCTTCTTGTTCTTCCACTCGAGGCTTGTAGACAGACTTGAAGCCTTTTACCCACACTAAGAACTTCACGTCTACAAAATTATCAGAAACATTCACTATTTCAACAATCTCATATTCAAAATCTTTTAGATTATTACCATTCAGCTGAGGACTCCAGTTTTTGTGTACTGCCCAAACTTCATCTTTTCTAGGGAAGATCTTGTATACTCCCTTCTTCACAGGTTCTGCTGCTACTACATGTGAAAAGTTGTTGGTTACAGTATATTTGTTCAGCTTACTGTTTGGAAACTTAAACAGTCCACAACCAATTGGCATTGTTTTATCATGCCACTGTATTGTACTTTTAGGGAGTGGACACGCATAAAACCATGCCACATGCAACACAAACTCAGGGAGAAGATCTATCTTCTTTATCTGCCCATAGTACCGGGGCAATGCATCTTCATCACTGTATATCGCCCAACATTGACCAATTTGAAACTTCTCCGGTGATCGCTCAGCAGCAAATCTGTAAAATTCGGGTTCAGGAACCTGATTAGGTACTGATGCAACCAAGTTTTCAGCAGAATTTACAGAATCAATGAAATTAGCTGTCGCTCTTTGGTCTACGGATTCACCAGAAACACCTAATTTTTCAAGAGGTAAGGAGGCAGGGTCTAGTTCAAAGGATCCTTCAAGAACATCATCCCTCTCCATCCCTGTCATCTTAAAGAGGAACTCTATGAGAGAATCTAAGCATCTCCTTTGCAGGAACTAGAAATGGGTCTCCTGCTCGATGAAAAAGACAAGTGAAGCCTTTGGCTTTAACCAAGTATGCAACATGCACACCAATAGCATCAGCACGGTCTGACAAGACCTCAACAAACTCATAGTTGAACTTCTTCTTTGCTCTCAAGACGAGAACTACCAGTTCATATCCCAATCTTTAAAGATGGCCCAAGTTTCTCCTTCCTGTGGAAATATCTTTATGGCACCATAGCTATTTCTATTTATTGCACATACCAAATGTGAGAAGATAGGATGATCTTCAATGTCTTCTAAGTTTCCCAGTCTGAACGTACCACAAGAAGCTGGAAGGCCCTCAGATAGCCATTTGGTTTCATCTTCATTCAGCGGATCCGGTTCTAACCAAGTTATGCGCAACTTAAATGCAGGAGATAAAATCTTCCTGATGATTGCATAGAATCTAGGCATGGCATCCAGAGTATCATAAACAGCCCATACTTGCCCAACCTTAAAGCAAGATTCTTCCTTGTCCTTGTCAAAATCACTAAAATCTGGATCTGCACATTCAAATGTTTTTGGCTCAGTCATAGTAGAAGGCCCTACATCTGAGGGAAGATCAACACTTCCTTTTAAAGGTACATCCACTCTTTCATTTGCAGTCTCAGCTTCCTGTTCTGTGTTCTGCAAGCTCTCTTCAGCAGACAAACTGGGCTTCAATTTCTTCTCCTTCCCCTTGGAAGTTGCTGCATGAGACAAATGCTGAACCTCGGATTCCTTAGTAGGAGAGGGATATCCAACCCCCTTAAATCGCTTAGAAGGACCTACTTCTTCAAATTCATCACTTAGATTATCACTTCCTTTTGCAGTCTCAATCTCCATCGCTTAGATAATCTACTAGGCAATCTTATAAATGGAAATTCACCTTACCGAGTATCGATCTCCAACAACCACTAGAACAAACAATGAATCTGTGAATCAGGCAGGAACTCAGATTTAGAAAAAGAAAAATATCTAAGAGTGAAGAATGTTCTTGATATTCAAAGACTACTCAGTACAAAGAAAAGAGGTGCTATATATATCTCTTCCTCTTGTGTTAGTAACTAAATTCTTCTAACAAACTAACTAACAATTGGTTATAACTAACTTTATGATAACTCTAATCTACCCTTATCCCTTTTAACAGCTTTAACATTTTAACTAAACTGTATTAATCATAAATATTTTTTTACCACAAATATCTCTCGATCAAGTGTAGTAATTTTCAAACGTTCTTCTCTCAAGTGAACCGTAGCAAATTAATCAATCTATTCACTTAGCTCGTGTCAAAACTTCATAGCGACACAGAAAAGAAGACAAAACAACACAGCCCTACTCAATGCAGGATGGGATCAACAACAAAAAAGCAGTGCCCCAGTGGTTTAACCAAGAGCATTCAGGCCACCGAGAGTGTACAAGTTACTCCTCATCAACTACAACTCCTTTCCGATTTACTACCACAGAAACAAAGCAACTGCAGTGTAATTAGAAGATCAAACTGTTGTAAATTTCACACAACAGTACTCTTTCTTTTTGTCTTATAAATTGTGGACAGTAGTATCATTCACATGACTACTATTTTTTACCAGATATAATATAGTTGCAAATTCCTAAATGATGTTGTATTTGCCACGACCAAATTCACCAGGCCATGCAAACACCTACTCTAACACCTAGATAGGAAGATCCTTTCACCCCAAAATGAATTAGGTCATGCGGAAAAGAAAATAAATTACCATAAAAGCTCTCTAACACTTTAAACTTCATGAAAACAACAAACTTTAATAAAACCTTTCATTAGACCAAAAACACTCCCTAAGGAACTAGTCTAATTAGGTATAAGAGCTACTAAATGAGTACAGTTTATACAAGAAAATAGAACACAACTCCCACCATAAGAGAGGAAAAATGAAAGTTGTTGGAGATCATCATTGTTTTCACCTATGAAGCATCACTGACCCTCCAACCAAACGATGCCAAGTGTCATAGCAAGAACAATATCAATACAAAACACATACTGTATCTGGTAGACATCATCGATCGATTGAACCTACCACATAATATAAAGTAGACATTCAAAAGAAACATGCAATATGAAAGTTACCCCACCCCAAGTCTCTATCCACTTACTTTTACCCTCCCAGGTATAATGCCTATAAACTAATGCACCTCAATCCCATGCCTCCCTGTTATACCACAATAATATCAAGTCCTAGCCTAACCCTTCTACAACATAGAGATTCACGAATACAAGGCCACCACTAGCCCTATCAGCCAACCTACTACTCTCTCTCAAGTTCTCATGTCAACTCTGGCCCTTTCGAAGTAGTACCTGAAAATGGCGCCTTAGATCAACACATCCATCTTGACTCACATCCTTATTATCATGTAAGTTCTAAAAACACTGACAACCATGATCGGTCCCAGAACTTAAGCCATGCACCAGAAGCCTAACATAGTCCGGACTCCGACTTAATAGTAACCTGCAACATGTTCCACATGGTCAAATGCAAGCCATACCTAAGATGAACTCACCTTTCAGGTAACTCGAACCACTCAAGGATCCAACATACATACATCATATCATACAAGGTAAATCAGGTTCACTCATGGAACCATAAATGCACATACACAGTTTTCTCAAGGAACCCACACCACAATTCATTAGATAAAGAACCCCATATTTGTGTTGAAGTTATAAAACCCAATTCATTAGATAAATAACCCCACAAACAAACAAAAAACATAAAATATCATCTTTGATGGAATCAAACAAGAACTTGACTTTATTTCTTTACAAAAAAATAAATAGAGAGTTGATGAATAAACTTACAGTGTAGTTGATAACTTGTTTGTTTGAGAATGCAAATGAAAGAGGAAAATTCTCAAGTGAAGAAAATTCTATATATAGGAAAATTTTCATGATTGTGGTAATACATTATTTCTTGATGAGTAGGATACAAGAGGATTAGTAGTTTCTATCATTCATTACAACATTTTAAATGATTTAATTTGATGAGTAGGAGTCTAAAAGGATAAATTTTAAATTTTGGATCTTCTGACATTTTTTAAGCATTTAATTTGGTGAGTAGGTGGTGTGAGAGTAAAATTGAAATTTTATTTAATTTAATTTGATGAGTTGGAGCCAAGAGGGTAAAATTTGAAGTTAAGTTCGTGTATTTTGTTAAACATTTAATTTGACAAGTAGGAGCCAGGAGAATAATTTGGAGTTTTATTTAATTTAATTTGATGAGTAGGAGCCAGGACCAAGAGGGTATATTTTAATTTTAGTGATATTTTCTTAAATATTTAATTTGATGAGTAGGAGCCAGGACCAAGACGTGTAAATTTAATTTTTTGATGAGTAAGAGCCAAGAGGTTAACTTTAAATTTTAATTTTAATGATATTTTCTGAAGTATTTAACTTGATAAGTAGGAGCTAGGAACAAGGAGGGTAATTTAGAATTTTATTTAATTTAATTTGACGAGTAGAAGCAAAGAGATTAAATTTTGAATTTTAGTTCTTGTAATGTTTTCTTATGCATTAAATTTGATGAGTAGGAGTCAAGAGAGTAAATCTAGAGTTTAATTTAATTTGATGAGTAAGAGCCATAAGAGTGAATTTTAAATTTAATTTAATTTAATTTGATGAGTAGGAATCTAGTAAATTTCAATTTTTAATTCTTGTGATTTTATCTTACTCATTTTATATCGAAAGTCGTTCTATCTAGACAGTTTTTAGAAATTACATTACTCTTAAATATGAATTAACAATACAAAATTTAATATTATACATGAATAGTGAAATTATTTAATAATTAATAAATTTTAAAATTTGTGAAATCTTCAAATGCAAAATATCACAAATGAGTATTTCAATTAATTAAAAATTAAAGGTGCTTAATAAAATATTATAAATATTAATATCACAATTTATTGATATTTCAGGAGCAAAAAAAAAAATATATTATGTAACAACATAAAGTCAAAATGATCTAAAAAATATTTGAGTCTTATAAATACTTATTTTACAATGAATTCAAGACCAAAAATATGAAGGTCCAGATTTGAAAGTAAAATCACTTATACAAAAGATCTAAACTGGAAATGTAATAAATTATTGTACATAAAAGGAAAATTAGAATGTGATTCTTAAATTTCATGATTGAAAACAAAAGAAGGGATCCAAAATATTCTACTACCATTAATGGCAAATTACTTATTGTGCACGAGTTCACTCTACCAAACAACATGATAATTGATCACTATAATTATACTCATGATATAAATATTCTACATCATATTTAAATTAAATTAAATTTAAATACACCCTCTACGCTCCTACTCATCAAAGTAAATTAAATAAAATTCTAATTTTACTCTCTTAGCTCCTACTCATCAAATGAATGGTTAAAAAGTATCACAAGGACTTTTAAAATTTTGTTATAAAACTAAAGCAAAATAAGACAAGAAATATAGAAGATGAAAGCAATAGAAATAGGGAGACGAGAAAAAAAGTTTTTCTTATTCTTTCAAGTATTCAATTGTTAACCAAACCTTCAAGTGTATCCAATATGAACTCCAATGCCTCTATTTAAAGTATTACATAGAGGCATACAAAAGGTTAGTTATAAACATGACATTAACCATGAAACTTATGGAGACAGTAACCATGTAAGTTATTGTCACGCCCCAAGCCTACACCCTTGGTGAGACTGGCACTCGAGAACCATTGCTGGCCCCAAGCGAACCCTTGGCCTGACTTACTTACTCAGCGGAAGACTTAGACATAAGAAAGAGAATCCAAATACAAGATAACTCAACATGTCTCAAACTGAACTCATAATGTTTTAAAAATAAACATTTAACTTAGCCAAAATGGCAACTCAAATCTGAACATAAGTCAATAACAAAATGATGACGAATGAACTAACATCTGACTGACTATCTATGAAGCCTCTAAAACAACTGAGATGGATGTCAGGACAGGCCCACGACATCCTATGTCAGGACAGGCCCACGACCTCCTAATGTACTATAATGATAAAGTAATAAAAAAGGGAATCCTCCGGAATGTAAGGAGGCTCACCAACAACTCTGAAGCTCAACTGGATCAACAATGCACTGGATGCTAATCCTGGTTACCTGCGTTTGCATCATAATAAGATGCAAGCCAACTGGCATCAGTACATTGAATGTATGAGTAT